ACAGGCAGTCCTGAAAGGAAAGCCTCCATAATGGCCCAAGGGTCATGAAAACTGGTACGGAAGCAAAATGCCACTATTTCTCTGGAAATAATGTAAGCACTATTATGTCCTCCTCCATCACCTGCAACTAAAGAAGCCCTTATTAAAAAGTGGTAGCATGCCCATCCATAGATGACAGGGTTCTCACAATGTTAAGAAAATAGCATTAGCCCAAAATCTATTTCTCACAGGTCATGATGAGCATTGAGATACTAAATATCAATGAACCAGTGCAGAGATTTCAGAATATAAGATGAGATATTCTTTTCTTGTCCCTCTAGATTTATAATCTCTCAACTCTGGCAATATACATAGATGATAATAGTAAGAACAGCATAATTAAAAACTAAGCGAAATAGAACCAAAAAAGTATCAAATTCAAATATACAAAAATGCAAATTAATGACATTAAAATGAAAACAGTTCTAACAGTAAATACCAAATAAATAACCACTTTGGAATAAAAGCAATAGAAAAACTAGAGCTTAGAAAACCTAACACATATATATAATTAAATCAAGTAAAAATCAAATGATATATAATAGTGTTTACTACTGCTTTATTTATTTATGCTAAAACAATTATGAAAATAGTCAAAGAGGTTCCCAATATGTCTTATTTAAAAATCTAAAGTGCATTTGTATTGTGAAAAGGCATGTTTTTCTATGGTAAATGTTTTTTAGACATTTCAGGAATCAGCCATTAGATGGCATTAGTAGTCAACTAGTGATTCAAAGGGCTTCAACCTACACTTTAAATTTTTTTCCCAATTCCTCTAAATTACTGGAACATTCCTCTTAATATTGGGCAAAATGAAGTAAAAAATAAGAAACATTATTTTGGGAAAGGAAAGATTTATTTATTTGCTTAGATACCACTAAGCAATCAATAAGTCTTAATGTTGCAGGATTCAATCTGGGTCAGTCACCAGGACCAGAGGTTTTGACTTCTGAGCTTTTGGACTCATGCTGGAGACCATCCTCAAAGAACTTCTCTCTAGCTAGTCCAAAAGCTCAGATGTCAAAACCTCTGGTCCCGATGACGGACCGAGATTGGATCATGCAACATTATCCTGAGACACCTTCATTTGTGAGTCCTGATGTTTGCTATCCTACATAAATTTATCTGGAAGTATGTTCCACAAAATTCAATAGTATTTATTCTGATTAGATCTATTTGTTTGCAGTGTTTAATTTTGAATGGATTATGACTATATAATCCTGCATTATAAACTTAAATAATAATACAATTGAACATTACCTATTATCCTTGTCGTTCAGCACTAATCCACACAGGCCTCTTACTATGCTAATATTTAGCTTTATAATATTTGCTACAAAGTAACATTTTTTATTAAAAAAGAAAAAAATTTCATTAGGAATCAACAAATACATAATAATATAAACTTAAATTTCATTTATATAATATACACCATTAACACCAATGCTTATCAAGGTGTTCAAAAATAAAATAAAATTATGTAATGCAATGAAATAAAATGTTGGAAAGAAATAGTTATTGCTATTTAATCACACACCTCTAAATAATAGTTACATCTGCATTAAACCATATTATAATGTTTGTTAAAATATGTTTAAACCAGAGGTGGGTTGCTGCCAGTCAGCCAAACCAGTAGTAGCAGTGATGGGAGGCTCCACCCACCAAGCGCAGAAGCGTCACGTGTGTGCGGGAGCGCATGTGGGAGCGTGGCCGAACCAGTAGTGAAAAAATTAGCAACCCCACCTCTGGTTTAAGATTACATACAACCCTACTAACAATACAATACAGTTTATATATTACAGAACACTGAAGGGTGGGGGAGGTTCTATATAGTTGAGACCTATACTACTGAAGGAATGTCTGTTCCTAAGAAACATATGGGATGATTGAAAATCATAATTATTGCACCAATAATATTAGTTGATCCACAAGTCATATGATTTAAAAAAAAAAAAAACACCATATTTTCCACTGATTTTATAAAGTCCCATCCAGGCCGTTGGATTTTTTTCCATTACTGAATTTTTTGACAGTATATTAGTGAAATTGTAATATTCAATACCTTGCAACATTTTACTCTGAAATATTCGGAAACAGTAAATATTTAGATTTTTTTGCAATTGTGTCTGTGTCCTAGTAGAACAACATTATTCAATAAAACAAGAATTATTCTTGTCCTTTCAAACTTTTTGAATAGATTTGAACTGGCAAAGGATAAGAGAAAAAGAGAAAATTTTGTTCTACAAGTGGAAATCTATCCAGGTAATTTGGAATCTATCCATATTTATAAAACTACCTACTTTATAATAATCAAGTACAGGTATAATGTCTAACTTTAATCCATAACTAATTTCAAAAGAAATATTCAGGCTTATCTAAGAAATATTAATTATATTTCTTATACAGCCATAAACTCCACTGCATAATTTAATGGCTTTGCTGGGGGAGGGATCTTTTAAGATGTTACCTATATCAAAGTTGCTTGTCATGTTCTCTACCATCGTTCATACTCTCATGTGCTCTATTTATAATCAGCAGAAATTCTACAAAGTAGATGAAAAGGGGGAGGAAAAATAAATTATTTCTTTGCTTCCAGTTCATACATTTTAATGATTATGTCCACAAACAATCCCATTATGTATTATGAACTTTGATTCTGTTGGCAAGGTATGATTAATTCAAAAAAATCTATAATACACATGCTTATTTTAGCATATGATACAATAGTGGAATAGGAATGTGATGGCTCAGCAGTTAAACATGCTGAACTTGTCAGCGGAAAAGCTGAAACTTTGGTTTGAGACCCAAGCACTGCACAATGGTGTGAGCTCCCATTCCTTGCCCCAGATCCTGCCCACCTAGCGGTTTGAAAGCATGCAAATGTGAATAGATAAATAGGTACCACTTTGGTGGGAAGGTAACAGGATACCAGCTGCCTTGGTATATTGTCATGCTGGCTACATGACCATAGGAATGTTTTCAGATAGTCCTNAATTCCATAAAACACCTAAGAAGAATGTAGTAAAAGATCCAGGAAAGGTTGAACATATAAAAAGTATGGCTATGATATGACACCTCACCTTTTTCTGGTGTCTTCTTACTACTCACTTCTTTTAAAAAACTTTCTGAGTACTTAGTCTTTTCCTGTTCACTTTTCTTTGCAAGTTCAGATGTTACCTTTTTTTCTTGCTTTGTCACAAGTGTCTTGTATTTCTTTCCTTTTACTTGATGAAAACGGTTTAGTTTTTCAGATCTTGAGTCTGACAGTTCTAGTGTTTGTTCCTCAGTTTTTTCCAAACACATGAATGAAATACTGTGTACTTCTTGAGTGTTTTTCAAGTCAAGTTCTGTTGGTTTTTGTTTTATTTTTTCAGACAAACTTTCATTAGATTGGTTTGATACAGTATGTGACTGTCTATCTGGTTCTTGATTAAGAAATTCTTCTGGCTTATAAGTACTGTAATTCTCTCTACTATTTTTTGATATATGTTTTTCTAAGTAATTAATTTTACATTGAGCATGTTTTACATGTGTGTCACAAATTTTTGTCTCATTAAAAAAAATCTTTGGTTCATGATCATTTTGCTGAGAATCTACTTTGCCTTTATTAGGACAAAACTCCCTACCATTATTTGTACATTTTTTTGAAGAAGTACTCTGTCTTTGTTTTTCTTCAGGTACACATTCTTCTGTCACAAAATTTTCTTTAATGTTATTTAGTGATGTTATTTTTTCATCTTTATCTAATAGAGGTTTATCTTCTTGCACTGTAGTTGTACTTTCTGTCCGAAAATTGCTGAACATGTTTGTTACCTGCTCTGTAACAGAGTCAGCTACTGTGTAGCTGACATCACCAACCACACCAGTAAAATCATCTACAGCATTACTTAATGTGTCAACCAGAGAAGACACAGAAGGAAGACTAAGATTTTGTTGCAAATGTTTGAAAAATGACATATTTCAATTCTATATTAATAAATTAATATTACAAGAAAATTACAATATTGTTAATGTCTCACTCTTGCCATTTATTTACCATTAATAAAAGGGCAATTAACATTAGTCTTCTGATTTTATTTTCTTAAATGTAATAAACAAGAACAAATATTTTCTTTATGAAGCCAGAATCATTCCTTTTCTAGGATTCTTATAATATTATAGTAAAATGTGAACTACTTATAATCAGATATTGAAAATATTGAAAATATTTAAAATATTGGATTTTATTTTACACCTGCAAAGGAAAATTTAAATAATATATCAAAATGAATATGTTTTGGGCTAGTACAAAACAATAATCAATAATATACATCCCCTGCCTTTTTCTAGTTTAAAGAATTTATATAGCCTAACATATTCCATTCCAGATTGTAAACATTATAGAGCATAGATGTGATCTAAAGAAATCTAAACAAAAAAGCCTAATTTAAATTAATGGATTTATCTAATTTCTGGTTGCACTCAATGTAAATAAAAGGCAAAACCAATCCACCCTATTCATCAATTAGATGTTTTATTACACTGCATCAACATCCAGGTTAGGGGTATGATGGTGCACTCAGTAGTCAGAAAGGCCAGTGTATCAGAATAGAAATAATTCAGTAACTAATCTTAGCTTCAGCTGGATAGTATAAGTATAATATTTATTGTCACTGTACTTAAATACAACGAAAATGGTCTCTTCCACCTCTAGCTTTTTATATTGAGGAATCTCATATATGTTGTAAAATACATTTGTTTTGCTATATATTAGCATGATGATATAGTTTATTAATTGTATATAGGAAAATGTTTTTCCCAATGTTTTAAAAGCTTCAACTAAATAAAATAGATTCCCTAAATAAATAATTATGACCAATCACTACAGATACATGAATTAAAATATTTAGGAATTTACCAGATATGTAAATAGAAGTTTCCTATGTCCTTCAAAATCATATGTTGAAGAATTTTATACTTACGCAGTTTGTCCTGTGAATTTTTTCTGGCAGTGTAATGGGAATTGAGGTCTGGGAGGCCTCCAATATTTTCAAAACACATCTTCTTGTTAATATACAGAAAAAGAATCAACAGCAAGATGATAAGTACCCCAACTGCTGATAGAAATCCAACTGCCTCAGGAGATACTAGAAGAAACAAAACCATAATCAGAGTGCAAGAATAACACCATTTATAATAATCAGATTATCACTTCTCACCCTAAATTATATGCAAGTAGTCCTCAACTTATGATCATACTTGAACCCACAATTTTAGTCCTAAGTCATGATGGTCATGAAGAGAGTCACCATGTGGACATGCTCAATTTTACAATATTTTGCAATAATTATTAAATGAACACCATGATTAAGTGAATCTATTGATCAGGCTTAAGGTTGACTCAGGCTTCCATCCTTCTGAGATGGGTAAAATGAGGACCCAGATTTTAGGGGGCAATATGCTGACTCTGTAAACCACTTAGAGAGGGCTGTAAAANGTTTGAAAGCATGCAAATGTGAATAGATAAATAGGTACCACTTTGGTGGGAAGGTAACAGGATACCAGCTGCCTTGGTATATTGTCATGCTGGCTACATGACCATAGGAATGTTTTCAGATAGTCCTAAAGTGATTCCATTATTATATCCTTGACAAATCAAATCTATCCTCTTCCTAATATTAATGAACGTGAAGGATCAACAAAACATACAATGTTTCTAGTATTGTAAAGTAGGCCTAGTAATCTTGTTTGTTTCCCTAAATTAAAACGGAAATTTTAGACTAAAAATAAAATATGACTATGGACTGGGGATGAATAACTATGGTCTGACTGATTATATTTCTCTACTGTTAAATGTACCAAAGTTTATGGTATTTTATTACTTACCACTAAAGCATTTATAGTACAAATAATTAAACAACAATCACCAATAAAATTTGAACATTAAGAGATAAAATGCTAATAAACCATTATTATAATAGCATCAACAAGGATGACAAAGTTAGTCACCGTATGCTCTTGCATAAAATCTGAATGACAGTATGAAAGAGTTGACAGTGTGCATTAATCAACAGTCAGGAACAGAAAGGAATTTATTCCTTATTTTCTTTGTTGTAAATTTATCAGGTATCTTTATATATGATAAAGTTAAATTTGTTATAGCCGTCCAAAGTATGACATAGAATCCATTATACTGAAAAACCTGGGATTTATTAACATATTTTGAATATATTTCTACTTACTTTCATTTATATTTGAAAAGGGAAGAATAACTTCAACCAAAGCTGGGTTTGGACTATACCACATGATCTAGATCCACATAACTAAGTGATTAATTCTATTAATCAAACAAAGCTTAATGGGGCTTGTGCTTTTGGAACTGAATATCACAACAGATTGATGGTGGTTTAGAAGAAAAGGAGGGAAAATTGCCACTGAACAAACTAGTTCTTCTTTTCCTGTAAAATATTTTTACAAAGAAATCATTTTAATTTATCAAAGGTATACTATTTTTTATCTACAGAACAGCACACATTGAGAAAGAGGGCTCTGGTGTTATATGTGTTAATTAAACAATTTAAAAAGCATGAAAATAATAAAAAAAACCAGCTACAAAATAAATACAAACAGCAGCCTTGATGATTAATTAGTAAATTAGTAGAGCCGAGTAAGGGGGCCCTTAATACATTCTGAGCCACAGGTCTGGGTACATAGCCATGTTTTTAAAGCTTTGCAAAAAGTCAACAAGGTTAGGGCCATTTTAATCTCCAAGGGGAGAATATTCTACAAAGAAAAGGCTACAGCTGAAAAAGCCTTTCTTCTAATTCCCTCCAGTTGACACTCTTTGGCTGACAGGGTCTAGAACATGCCCAATATGTTGGGTCAGGTTGGATGGGTAGAAACTCTTGAAAAAAGGCAGTCCCTCAAGTAAATCAGTCCCGAGCCATATTGTTCTGACCTAGGCTTCCTGAGAAAGCATAAATCACAATCTTATTCCCAAAAAACCTATTTTATTTAAAATTGTAATCATTCACAGCCTATGTTTCCCAAACAGTCTGTAAAGAGTCTGACAGGTGTCTGCTCGAGTTGCCAAAGTCTTTCAGGGTAATGTTGATAAGCACCCACATTTATCTCCCTTGAAACACTGTCAGAGACCTAATTGCCAATTAGTTCTGCAAGGCCAAACAAGCATAGAATCAAACAGGATTTATTAGAGCTTGAACTGACTAGATGAACTAATTGCTTCCTGCAAAGGCTCACGTCCATTTGCTCCTCTTTTATGTCTTATGGGAGGAGCCAATCATCTCCAAGCCTTACTCCCAAGTCATCCTTTTTGTCTTAACTATTCTTGCCTTCTGGCAGCTCTGCACATGCGCACACTAGACACAGGCTCACACTGCTCTTCTGCCTCGCTGATGTCAGGTTCCGGAGACTCCAGAGGCAGCACATAACTAACAGATGGCCCTGGCCCCCTGTCTGCCTCTGATGCAGAGCCCTCATCCAAGCCTTCCCCAGACTCCAAGACCCAGATTCCTCCCCAACGTCCTCACTTTCTGACTCTGCTGCCAACTCCATAGGCCGCCGGCAGAATACAAGACTTATAGGGCTTTAAAGATAACAGTATCTTGAATTGCATACCGGCAGCCAGTGCATCTCACAAAGTAGTAGTATCACATAGGCAGTGTAGCTGGCACCATCTATTATTCATAAATTATTCATAAAGACACATTTTTCACCAATTGACATTTCTGAATGCTTTTCAATGGTAGCCCTATAGAACATAAGCAGGAATTTAAAAGGGCATGGTGATGATGGTGTGCAGGGCCTCCTGGTCCAAGAATGGGCACAAACTGACCCACTAACTGAAGGTGTGCAAAGGCTCTCATAGCCACAGCTGCCCCATGCTCTTCCAGTAAGAGCTATGAGTTTAGGAAGACTCCCAGACAGTGGGGATATTGCCACCACATCCAGAACTAGAGATGGAAGAACATTGTCTGTGGAAAGTCCAAATACCCACTTCACTCCAGCTAGGATTGAGTTGGAGCCCATTTTGCCCCATCCAGACCTGAATAGCCTCCAGACACTGGGTAGGACGTCCACAGCTTCAGTCAAAGGGCCTGAAGTAGATATAATGCTGGATACCATTCATATATTGATATCTCACCCCAAACCTCACAAGGACTCACACAGTGGCCTCATGTATATGTTAAATAGGAAAGGAGACAGAACTAAGTCCTGAAGCACCCCACAAAGTAGGAGGCCCATATAACTTCCTGCCTATCGAACTGACTGAAACCAATCCCAGGAGAAGGAGAACTAGTACAATACTCACCCACAACTCTTAGAGCCAGCCCAGAAGAATACCATGATCAATGTATCGAATGCTGCTGAGAGGTCAAGAAGAGCCAGGATGGATGTACTATCATCCTAGTAGTACTATCATCCTGCTCCCACCAGAGGTCATCCATGGCTATAATCAATGTCGTTTCAGTCCCAAACCTTGGCCTAAACCCCAGATAATCTGTTTGATACAAGGTCCTCTGCAACTGCCACACAAGTACTCTGTCCACAATATTCTCTAAGAAGAGAAGATTTGAAACTGGGTGAAAACTGTACAGCTTGACTGGGTCGAGCAATGGTCGTTTGAGGAGGGGGCACATCACCACCTCTTTAAGAATTGGTGGGATTACTTTTTCATCACCTCGTGTACAACTTTAATAAGTCAAGAAGGCATGGATCTAATACACAAGTATCTGAATTAGGAGCTGATAACACCTTCTCCATGTCTTCATGTTCTTGGAGTTACATGCCTGAATATGTTTTTTCCCTCCCTACATTATTTTCATTTGAAATTAGGGAAGAATTTGTCTGAGATATTTTCTCGAATTAGTTTCTGGAAAAGGACTAAAACATAACTTCTTCTTGCCTTGATAGTAGCAATTCCTTCTCTCCTTCAAAGCCATTTCCTATGTCCTATTCCATATACCCTCTTCTTGTAACATGGTGTGCAGATGGAGCCGGATCCTTTAAAATTGAGGCTTGGGCTCAGAGCCATCATCATCCTGATTTGATTTATCTGTCTAACTTCTCAGTTATGGACAGCTACTATTGCTGAACCAATTGAAAGAAAGCTCAGATTTTAGAATGTAGCTTTCCTTAACCTATCACTCATTGTCTTGATTTAATTCCCAAAGGGATTTTCTCTGATATTGTTTTGGTGGATCAATTGCTTGTACATTGAGGGTGGCAACTAATTATTTGTTTTTCATTAAGTTTACTGTATATGCCACCCATCTCGCTATCAGTGGTGGGTTGCCATTTTTTTAAACTACCAGTTCTCTCGTGCACATGCGCAGAAGCATCTGGGTGGGTGGGTGGAGCCTCCAGCCACCGCCATTACCGGTTCGCCCAATTCGGGCCGAACCAAGAGCAACCCACCTCTGCTTGCTATTCAGAACTATTCTAGGCAGCTTACAAATTATACCTTCTCTTCATCTCATGTTGATGCCACTCTGCCAGTATGGCAGAGCCCTTTGTAGACAGAAAGTTGGGAAGCTCACTAGTTAGTAACAGAAAATGAATACTGGACTCTCCAAGATGTAGATAATCTGCTAAAGTTTATCCCTCCCCATCCCTTGAGCATTCAAGGACAGCAATTGAAAACAAAAAAATCAACAACTTAAAGGAACACTCAAAATATCAAACCAAGGAAGTGAATGGATTTGACAGCAACAATTTGAGGGTTGTTCTACTCTCACACTAGCAGACTAAATAAGACTTGGAGCCCTAGCTCTGAGCATATAAACAACTCATTCACTACAATAGTTTCCGGGCACTTCCTTTATTTTGATTTCCAGCAAAAGGAGATCAGCCTTTATAGTCAGCAGGCAATGAGCCTGCAGGGATTCATGTTATCCTTTTGTAGTTTACTAACAAGGTGGCCAATGTTTTCCCTTTACTATGAAGTATTATTATTAATTATAATGGCTAAAATGAAAACTGGATTAAAAGTAGGTTTCAATTCTTGAAAATATGAATACTGATTTAATAACTATCAATTTACATAATAGCCAGTTCTTACATGAATTACGTGCAATGAGGCAGAATTTTAAGAAATATTTAAAATTATATTTACCTTTTCTAATGCAAATTAGTTCATGTACACCACAAGTTCTCTCTCCACCTGTTGAAAAAACATTGAGAAATAGAAGTACTATTTAAAATAGATTATAATATTTATACTCTTATTGAAGTCTATACTCAGACATCAAAAATAACTTTATAATTTTTAAAAATAATTTAGAAAACTCAAAAATTCAAATTATAGTAGTTATTGGTTTCATATATGAATACATTTTCCATGAATTTCAATTTCATATTAAACCAACCTGTTTCTTAAACAAGCATTATGCAGCTTAAGCAAACATTTACAATATAGACAATATTTTGCTGTGCAAGAAAAAGTTCCTAGCTAATCAAAAGTTGTTCCATGTAGGTTATACTTCAGTCAAAAACAAAACAAAACAAAAAAACCAAATCTCCAAGGATCTGCTAATGCTACTCTTATTTTGATATACATATTATTTTAACTTGACATGTCACATTTCCTCCTCTAATTGATTAGATGTGCACAGAAAACAAGAGAAGATGGATATAGAGTATGGAGAAAGAAATAGAAGCAGGAATATCATTGGTATTGATGCCATTTGAATCATTTGATTTTTGAAATACTAGCATATCAAATTTAAGCAATATTTTCACATTTCTGCTTTAATATAGGAATCATACAATTATTAATAAAATTAGCTAGTTAACAATAAACAAGTATTAATAAAAAGATAAACCCATTATCTTTAAGCTGCTTAAACTGTAGAGGAAGTGCCAGCAAACATTCTATGAGAATTAGCAATAGCAATAGCAGTTAGACTTATATACTGCTTCATAGGGCTTTCAGCCCTCTCTAAGCNAGGAAAGAAGCAACTTAGAACTGAGGAGAAATTTCCTGACAGTTAGAACAATTAATCAGTGGAACAGCTTGCCTCCAGAAGTTGTGAATGCCCCAGCACTGCAAGTCTTTAAGAAGATATTGGATAGCCATTTGTCTAAAATGGTATAGGGTTTCCTGCCTAGGCAGGGGGTTGGACTAGAAGACCTCAAAGGTTCCTTCCAACTCTGCTATTGTATTGTATTGTATTAATAAACTGTGTTCAGACAAGCATAATATAAAGATGAACACTTGAAAATGACAAATGGACATTATGGACTATTTTTTCCTTTAAAATGGAAAATGGCCAATGCTGGCTTTTTAATAAGATATACTGCATAGTGAAATCTATCCATGAGATTCATATTAAACACACTTCAAAAATGCCCCATTACAATAGATCTCATAACACTATTAGAATTCGTAAACAACTTGCCTTAATTAAGGAGGGGAGAACTTATGTTTTTTCAGATAATATCGGTTAAGACTCCTGCCTTGTCTAACTGGAGTCCAATTTTATATCATATATCAAATAATTCACAAAATATTTTGGGTTTAGAGTCTAGTAACAACTATGTATCACTAAAAAAACAAAAATGGCTTTTTTCCATAATGTTGAAATGTTCTTTGTTGTTGCCAATTAGAGTTATAAGAAAGAAACAAGAACTAGTCCAACAACCATTAATTGACAAGAATCAAGCAACATCATTGTAAGCCACATTCAGAAACTCTCAGGGCAAACCAAAAGACTGTTTATTAGCTGGTAAGGTTTTTACTATTCTGCTCTGAAATCACAGAGGAAAATAAAAAATGAATATGTGCATATTAGTGGGAGAGAAATATTGGAACAGGGATGTTCAACCTTGGCAGCTTTAAAACCTGTGGGCTGATGATTTCTGGGAGTTGAAGTCTGCAAGTCTTAAAGTTGCCAAGGTTGGATACCCCCAGTATTGGGAGTAAAATAAAATATATAAAGATTAAACAAAGGGAATAATGTATAGTTTTTGTAACTATGTGCAATTACATCTGAGCTATGTGAGCTTAAGAAAGTGTATTACAAGGAGGTTTAAGGTTTAAGGTTTTAATGGATTTGTATGCCGCCCAATCCTGAAGGACTCCGGGCGGCTTACATGAAAAACAATTAAAAAAAATTAAAAGAATTTAAAATACAAGACAAAGCGAATTTAAAAAGATAAAACATGCACTCAATCTTAGTGGGGCTGAAGATCAGCAGCCACAGGCCTGCCGGAACAGCCAGGTCTTAATAGACTTTCGGAAGGCCGAGAGAGTGGGGAGGATCCGGATCTCAGGGGATAGATTGTTCCATAGGGCTGGAGCACCACATTGTGTGGTCGACAGCACCCGGAGAAGGCCCATCCTGTGAGATCTTATTGGACGCTGGGAGGTATATGGCAGGAGGCGGTCACGGAGATATCCAGGTCCTAAGCAATGTAGAGCTTTAAAGGTGATAACCAGCACCTTGAAGCGTGTTCGGAGACCAAAAGGGAGCCAGTGCAGCTCACGGAGGATAGGTGTAACATGGGTGTATCTAGGTACACCCAGTATCACTCGCGCGGCTGCATTCTGAACCAATTGTAGTCTCTGAACACTTTTCAAGGGCAGCCCCATGTAGAGCGCAGGAGAGCTGCCCAAACCGCCCTTAAGGCTGTTGTTTGAGTCTGTGGTTTTTGTCAATGATGGGGCCTTTTATATGGTTGAGTTGCCCTTCAAATGCTCCTGTAGTCAGACGAGTGTACAGCCAGTTAAAATGAACCACTAATCCTCACCAACCAGAAATTCCTCCAGAACCCACAGGGATTAACAGTGATAATATATTTTGCCATATATTGAACACTGAAACAAATAAAGGTAGACAGCTACCATATTTAAACAGTCCAAGGACAGATGCAATCTGCTGGAATATTATGAGCATAATTGCATACACAAACACAGACATGCGCACACACATACACAAAGCTGATGTGTAAAAAAAAGTTTGCATTTCACTGGACAGCACTCAAAGTGTGATATATGAGGAATGGAGTTAGGCAGCAATTTTTAGTCTTTCCAAGTCACTATTGCTAGGCTGATTTTTCCACAGTTCCAGTGAATCCTTTCTGACTTTATTTTCTACAAAACTCCTTCCAGAAAACAGTGGCTTCTCATATAGACTATAGCCAGAGTGCTTAGTACATAGAAGTATATCAGGCGTGAGGGTAAGAATATGGGCCAGCTGCCATCACTGAACATTTTATCAGGAAATTCAGCTTCTAAATCTGCCATGGTAAGAACACAGCAAAACATCCTAACCTTTCATATCATATGGAATTTAAACCGAAGGGGGTTTCTCACAGCAGGTTCACTTCACACATCATGCTAAGTTATTTAAATATACACATATGATTTAACATATTTAAGTAATTATAATTATAAACTTATATTCTCAAATTGCTTACAATCAACAATGAAATAATAAGAGAATTTGAGAGGGGGGGGGGAATTTAAAGTAATCTTAGAATAAATTGCAGTCATCAATTTAATGGACTTCCTAACCAAAATGAACTATCCCAAATTGCGCCAATCAGAATTTCAGAGAAAAATTAAGATCAAAACAAAAATTTGAAAAAAAAAAAAACCTATCATAAAGCAAGCTGTGTCATAAAGCAAGCTCCTTGGCATGGATAATGGATGAAATCCCCAAATAGTAAAATAGCAAGTTTGGAAGGATCCAGATTAGCTAATGACTTCATAGATTTTTATGGTATGGAGACACAAAAGATACAAATTTAAAAGGACACAACCATAGACAGCATTTGATAAAAGCATGCAACTCCCCAAAGGGAATAATAAGTCCAACAATTTCACCTTTAGCTTTACCCACAAATCCTTTTTATGTTGGAAGCAATTACAGCACAAAAAATGTAATGGTTCATTCAGACTACAAAACATATTAAAGATACAAGAACAACTCAGTGAAGGCTGAAAGATAACTTGCTTGGAACACTTACAAACTGCTAGAAGGATAAATTCATATCTCAAGAAGAAAAGTAGGGATATTTTGAAAAAAAGACAATAAAATCACTTACAGCATGGCTTCTAATGTTTAATGTTTACAATATGGCAGTTTCCCCCTCTAATATTATGTCTGAAAAATATGTTTTAGTTATATTTAAAAAATAAAATGTATGCTTGTTATAATGTAAATTGCAATTGATATATTTCCTTTTTTCTCTATAACTGATTTCCAAATGATCTAAGTAATAGACTGTTCATAGCTTTAATTAACACTATATAAACATAATTGTATTGAAACAATATAATGGATCTAAATTAGAACAATGTAACATAAAAAGAAATGCAAAATGCAAATAGTGTAATCAACAGATTAAAATAATTGTCAATTTCAATTTTAAAAAGGGGGAATTAAACATAAAACAAACAAAAAATCTTTGAACAATTCAAAACAGCATTTCCACAAGGAAAGTCTGAGAAGAAAGCTGCCTTTAAAGATGCAGGTATAATAACCTGCATGAATTTCCTAAAAATCCTAAAAATCATGAATTTCAGGAAAGAGCGCACCATTGAGAAATTCTATGACAAGCCACAAAAATGTACAATGTGGTTCTTGGTCCAGGGAAAGGGTTCTTTCCCAGCCTATAACAAGAAAGGTAATAATGTACACTGGGAAGTCCATGAATTTCCAAAGGAAATCTTGTATTTAGTTCAAAGCTAATTATCTGTTGGTGGTGATGCTTCAGTAATAGTATCATATGAGCACTGTCAGTGCGCCATTCTCACCAGCTTTGGCCTCCAGACTAAATGCAAGGCAGCTCCATAACAGAAGAGCATTATAGCAATCAAAATGTGAAGATACCATGTGGTTAGCATGTTGTGCGCCTGTGGTTTGTAAATGAAAGTTATCACAGTGTGAGAAAGCCACCCATAATGTGGTGTAACTGAAACACTGTTTAATCAAGGAAAGTATTACAGTTCAATGGGGGGTAGTTTTCATAAGTGCATTTCTTCAATTTTTTTCTGCAAGTTTATGATTGCATGGAGTTCTATAACAGTGAACAGAAATAACACACCCGACCTGCAATTGGACAGTTGCATACACATTGGTGCATATTATTTCATACCATTGTTAATGGAAATTTTTATAATCGCCTACTGTCAGGTTATCATATACAGGTAAGTCC